AGAATTGCGGCGTTCGGCCAACTTTGACGCAACAGACCCCAATGTCGCTGCAGTGATTTCAGAGCCGATTGCAGAGCCAAAGGATCATGAGTCTGAGTGTGACAATATGAACCCATGTAGTGCTACAGGGGCCTGTACTGTCGACCACGCCGCCACACAGGCTCAATGGACTCCCTGGGCTGCTCAACATTCCCAGTCAGTACCAGCAACACAGCCTTCTCCTCTGACTCCGGAATCTTGGATCAAGAGCCCTTTGCCAGCGACTGGCCTTGCTGACTCTCCTGGATCTTGGATCAAGAGCCCTTCTCCAAAGCCAAGCGGACCAGTGACAGTGGAAGGCAATGCTCGGACTTCACCAATCTCTTCTTCGACAAGCGGGTGGAGTGTCGTGTCTCGTGACCAATCTGTGGCACGGGATCGTGTCACCACGCGTCAATACAACAAGAAGAGAATTGCGACTCCTGTGAGGAACGCACAGTCACAGGGTGAACCTCTGAAGAAGAAGGTCAAGATTTCTGACTACTTTTCCAACTTGCCGCAATCTAGCCAGTGCTGAATAGTAGTGAGCGCTAGATGGATTAGGCACGCGCTGTGGCCATCGTTTAAAGGTCACCAGCAGCATGTGTCATACTTACTGTTTCTGTTCCCCAGCAGCAGTCGTTGCTAATTCGTTAGTTAGACATTAGATTTCATAAGTGAGGCGATGTGATTGTTTTCAGCGGTGATCCCTGAGTCGAGGCTATGTGGGTTTGGCTTCAGACCAGACTGCAGGGTTTCCAGATTTCAATCCGTTCCAAAGCCCTGATGAACAGAAAACCGAGTGGGTTGCACAGCCCACTCATATGTGTGAGCCCATGAAAAAAAAACAGACCGAACAGCAGCGCAAGCAAATTTGGTAAAGAAAAACACGCCAAATTCGTCCAAGATATATATATATATATATATATTACTGAATATTATTCTACAGTAATTGCATTTTTTTATTAATATATAGTCGGTTGTCAATCATTTCAGTCTGTTCATGCCATTATACACCTGATCTGTGATAGTGATTTTTCGTTTCGCCAAGGCTGTGACCAAAGGGACGCTGCACAATTTTCAGGGCGATGACATCTTCAAGCTTTGGCCTTGGGAACACTTCGATTCGATTCGCCTCTGTCACACAGGATGTGAATTCTGAATCAAACACTGACAAACAGTCTGTCATATTAATCTGACAAGAAATATAATATATAAAGACTTATGATCTGATCTCTCCCAGGCCCAAGCTGGGGCCAAAGGACTGCAAGTCTTTCTTGGTGTGGGGCTTGGATTCAGTCGTGATTCAGATTCAGGGGATCAGAGCTCATTTGAAAATTGGTTTGATTCAACCAGTGATTGACCATGCATTTTACGAGAAGATACAATCACTCGCAACAAGCCAAGCAACCTGCAACATGTCATTAGGCCAGCAATCAGCACTGACACTGGTCTGTCAGACCCTGGTCGCATTGACCTGAGGCAGTGATGAAGATCATGCAGCGCAATCTGAATCTGATGTGTGGTCGTGGGCTGGATTCCTTCATTCCAGCTTGGCGACGTGGAAACCCTGGGGAAGACGGGCGATATACTTGTGAGCCCCCCAACCCGTCTGACGCACCAATGTTGCGTTTTGTCATGGATGAGGAAGGGGTACAAACCAAGACTGTTCACTTTCTATTCTCTTACGCTGGATTACGGGGAGCAGTATGCCCAGAGATATGCCACCCGAAATGGAACGCATGGAAAAGAGCAACCAAGAATAGGTCTTCATCGCTGGAGTACGATGTTTTGAGATTGACCATCGCTGCAAATTACAGTCATGGAGCAAAAATAACTGGAGAACGACGGACGAATCGACGGCAATTCTTGGAGACTTTTCTCAATCGTCAAGATGATGCCTACTTTGAAGACCTTGCGGCAGAGGTGCAACTAGATCGCCAAACCGACTTTTCAGCTCCGAGAAACGTTGTTGAAGACCACAATGGCCTTGATGCACGCTGGCTGCTCTCAGAATACCTGGAATGCGACAGCATCAGGAGAAAGGGTGACTATGAGACTTAGACTCAGATCTAACAACTCTTGTCTTCTGTCACCACTACATTTAGTAGTCAGTCAACAGGTCAATGAACCTTTCCATCAACCAATTTATAATATAATCTATGTTTGTTGACTGGTACATAATGTACATCTTTTCCACCAGCATGGTTGGACCATTATGACCATTGGATCAAATTGAACAAATCCTCACGTTGCTCTTGGCCAGGTGAAGCAGAAAAGCTGGTTTGGAATCTTGAACGTTCTCAAACTCATGCTGAAAGATTGGGCGGTGCTGCGGGAGGCCTCTGTTGGAATCATGGAAGTATCCGGAGGTGTAGCCACTCGACTCGACAAAACCTCGCCACCAGCGATGTTCTGCGAAGTCAAATTCTAATGATTTTTAACAACAATGTGACTGATATGATATGGACACGTAGAAAAAATGTTGCATAATATGTTTTTAGATACTTGTCTAGAACAGGTCAGCTTGTCAAAACAATTTGGAATGGGCTATGTAAGTTAACCTGAAGAACAGCTGTGTCTGTCAGAGAGTACACTACTAGACTACTCGTCTGGTAACCCTCTTTTAACAAGTAATAATCTTGATTCTCGCCCGCCGCAATCTAACTGATCCAGGATCCACACACACCAGTCGTTGGGAATTTAACAAATGGTCTCATATCATACCATATGATATGCCGTGGCCCCCCGTCCCAGGTCGATGATGAGGATGACAACGTTGACAACGATGGCGACCAGGCGGCGGGCCAGCCTGTCGCACAGGACGATGACAATGATGATGACGATGTTGGGCCTGCCGGCAAATCTGGTCGCATGAGCAAGTCAGAACTCTACAAGGCATATGTTAGCAAAGGTCCTCATGCTATGTACTGTGATATCATGTCAGATCAGAAGTTGCGACCTGCGGCGGAGTTGATTGTGAGAATCTCCAACCCACTCCATTTGAAATACGCGGAAGACCTGGAAACACAACAGCAAGGTTCAACAGCCATATTGGAATGGAATGTTTTTTTTGGCAGAACTAGATGAATTGTGGCAGATTTTGACAACAATGTTTTTTTTAAACATTGATTTGAAATTTATCTGAAATTAGTTTCACTCCAATTTGTTCAAGCTGTTTTCGCTAAGGCTTGCAGGGCCTTGGGTGGTTCAATGCCAACAGTGACGAGGATTTTGTATGCTCAGTCCAGTTCTGAATTATGTTCTGCTATGCGGATTTCCTCGCGCTGCCGGCCGCCGTTACCCTATGATGCTGTGAACTTGGAAGATGACATCACGCTTGTCCAAAAAGCATCAGACTTTGCAGTGAACTTGGCTGCCAACTTTGCCTGGAGTGAACAGTTTCCTCAATTGACGTTGCCACTAGCTGCAGCTTCACTTTTGTCTCAAGATCCAGTTCGAAGAAAAATTGGCATGAAACACCTCAAAAGGCTAGTCACCGCGATCACACGAGCAGAGATGCAGGTGAAGAAGCAGCCAGAACTTGAACAAGTCCTGAAAACACTGGCATTTCAGGAGGAGACACTTGCCCGTGAGGTCATGACGCATCTTTCACGCGGGCAGTTCAAGCTAGATTCCAGTGGAACACGGGATTGCATACAGGTTATGACGGAACTGTGTTCTGGAACATCATCCACAAAGGAGCTGTTGGAAAGCACTTTTGCTCACTTGTCGTACATTGTCTCTGGTGCGAACAAGAACAAAGTCACCGCACCTGCGGCATTGTGGATCTATGCATCTGCCAGCCCCTACGTTGCCAAAAGTGGAATGCACCAAAGCTTGCCAACAGAGGCTGAATGGGTTCGTGCTACGTCTGATTTTGGGAAAAGCAAGCAAGAGATGTATCAGCTCTTCAGTGGTGCTTTCAAGTCAGCTAAGACAGACCTTCCTTCTGCTCCAGATGTTCACCTTCCACGAACGAGCAAGGGACTAGTGAAAACTGAATGGAGGCTGTCTGGACCAGCTAGCCACTACAAAAGTAGTGCAGCAGCAGCCTACTTGCTCTTCGATGCTCCCAACTTTGCCAATGCGTCATTTGCTTGGGCAGGCCTGGTGTTCGCTGTAACATGGAAACCAATGTATACAATTACAAAGGTTAGTATGAATCAGTAGGGTGGGACCTATTATAAGCAACCTTACTGTTACAGTACCAATTTAGACGTGTTTTCTTACAATCTGACAGAGTCTGAAAAATCTGGTTCGCTGCTCGTGCAGGTGTTTTCCTGCAGCGGGGCTGCTTCTTCTATGACACGGTGGGAGACCAGTTCTTCCTCAGCTTAGGCTTCCAACAGTGGGCAGCACTGGGTGTGGAAATGAATGCGATGAACATTGCTGGGAAGGTGCCCATGACTTCATTCATGTCAACTGTTCTTATCTGACAAATTGTAATTTGGTGTTCAATCCCTAATTTCCCAGTCACCTGGACTTGGCTTCACGTACTGACTATATACAATAACGGCAACTTTCTGTCTGTGTGTTTGTGAGGAGTATCTCACGTTCAACACCGAGAATGAGGATGTTCACTTTTTGCACAACTTCTCCTTTGATGAGACCTGCAAATGGAGGTATGTCTCACATCGGATCCTCCCTCCGGCCTGCTTGCCAGATGCGCTCCCAGTTGGTGGCACTGCTTTTGAGGTCCTGGATCGAGATCAGTGGATTGCGCGGGGAGCACTTCAATCTGGGCTGAACCTCACTATCGAACGATTAAGGAATGTGTGCACTGCCGTCAAGTGCAAGTTGCCACAGAGGGGGGACTGGGAAGGGCGGTCGTATCAAGAAAATTGACATAGTGCGGGCCTTGGTGAACCACTTGTGGCCAGATGAGTCTGAAGACTTTGTCAAAGACATCGTGCGCAAAATGATGGGTGAATCCAAGGGTGACTTTGACATTTCTGTTCTTGCCATGGTGTCTGGGCTGGACACAGAAGATCAAGAATCTTTCGAACGAATGAAGCAGGATGCCATGAAACAACTGGAAAAGAAGCTTTATGGTCAGGGTGTTGAAGCAGGGCTGCAACAAGCCAAGAAACAAGGCATCAGTGAGCAGAAAGCAGCAAGTGATATGAAGGAGAAGGCCGACGCCACAGCTGCAAAACTGACTGCAGAGAAGGAGGAAACCGACAAAAGCGCTGCAATGAAGCAGTGGAATCTCACCCCGCCTGAGCTGCGGCAGCTTCTTCCCGGCAATGGCTCCATCAGCGGCCAATTTTGGATGCGGTACCATCCAGTGAACCATTGGCGGCGGGTGACATATCCCCATAGCTACCTGTTGGACAATTTAGTAATAATATTTTTGGTTTTCTCCCACAATGAATCAATGAATTCATCAATGAATGAATGAACATACTGCACGTTGAGTCCGTAACTGAGGCGACACCAAGAAACTTCAGAGTTGCCAGAGGTCATTTCCAACCAATCAGTGCCCGAAAGCGATAGATGCACTATCCACCGTCCTGAACTTTGCCTACAATCGCTGGAATGAGCTGAACCCCAATGACAAATACGAGATGTTCCTCGCCATTGATTTTGTGTTTGGTTTGCGCTTTGTATTGTTTTTTGTTTTTTACATACAATGCGTTCCAACTATTATTTTGAGCGTGTGATCTCATTGGATGGGACTGGTGAAGCTGGAGTGTTTCACTGGGTACGTTTTTTGAAACTCATATGACAACTATATATTATGACTTTATATTTTACACACTAAATATTTATATCATTGTGGTAGTGGCCGCTTTGTGCCCAGGCCATCCAAGCAAACGCTGCGTGACCACATCGCGACACTGTCTCTCTCCGATGAGTTGGTCGGTGAACCATAACAGGTGGTTCTGACAGTCTGATCCAATTTCCTCATCCCAGGGTTCCAGAAACACCCATGACGACATCGCACTCCATGACATTTGCCAGAGATTCTGTCAGTCAGTAC